GTCACTTGCCACAGACTTAATGTGGACAGATCGGCCAAACCTATTATCCAGCGAGCAAGGAGGCCAACGTTGATGCATGTGGAGGCAGTAGAAGAAGAAGTAGATAGACTCCTGGAGGCCAGAGCCATTCGAGAGGTAAACTACTCGACATGATTATCAAACACAGTTGTTGTAAAGAAGAAAAATGGGAAGTGGAGGGTCTGGGTGGACTTCACCAGCCTGAACAAGGCTTGTCCCAAAGATAGTTCCCACAACCCAAGATTGACCAATTGGTGGATGCCACTTCAAGGCATGGAATGATGAGCTTCCTGGACGCTTACAGGGGGTACCATCAGATAGCCATGTACCCCCCATATGAGGAGAAGACTACACTCACCCCCCAAAAGGGCTACATTGCTACAGAGTGATGCAAATGAGCAACTTACCAGAGGTTGGTGACTAAGATGTTCAGACATCTAATAGGAAAACAGTGGAGGTCTACATTGATGACATGGTCGTGAAGACCAAGGAACCTGAAGATCATCTTGCCAACCTAAAGACAGTCTTTAACATCTTAAGGACATTTTGACTCCGACTCAATGCATCGAAGTGTACGTTTGGAGTTGGATCAGGGAAATTCCTAGGATACTTGGTCACCAGAAAGGACATTAAGGCAAGCCCAGATCAGATCAAAGCCATCGTAGAGTTGAAGAGCCCGACGTCGGCAAAACAAGTGCAGATACTGACTGGAAGGGCGGCAGCCCTAAACAGATTCATAAGCAGAAGTTCTGACAAGTTCAGACCTTTCTTTAGTTTAGCAAAAGAAAGCCGAAGACTTATGGACAGATGAGTGTGAAGAAGCCTTGGCCGACCTAAGGAAGTATTTGAACACCGCTCCAGCTCTCTCAAATCCAGTACCAGGAGAGGAGTTGTTCTTATACTTGGCAGTTTCAGAGCATGCAGTAAGTGCAGTGGTAATCAGAGAACAAAAGGGAGAACAAAAGGCAGTTTACTACGTAAGTAAAACCCTAGCAATGCAGAGACCATATATCTACCCTTGGAGAAGTTGACACTGGCTTTAGTAATGGCCTCTAAGAAACTAAATCACTGCTTTCAAACCCATAAGATTGTGGTGTTAACGGAGCATCCTTTGAAGTCCCTATTGTAGCAAGGAGATCTAACAGGCAGGATAGCCAGATGGGCAGTGGTGCTAGGCCAGTATGACCTGGAATTCAGACCCAGAACAGCAATCAAAGGCCAAGTTTTGGCCGACTTCGTGGCTGAGTTCACACCAGGCGCCAATGTACATCGGGCTCCGTTGAGCCGAGGTGTGCAGCACCCAGGTAAAACGCAATAGAGAAAAGCAGAGAAACTCAGGCCTTGCAGCATTTACGTCGGCAACTCCTTCCGTCTGTTTGATGATGAAAGTTCAAACCGACAAGGAGTGGGGGCAGGAGTAGTGCTAGTATCCCCAAATGGGCAGATGCTGGAGCAATCCATTCACCTGGGGTTTAAGGCCTCAAACAATGAAGTAGAGTATGAGGCACTGATCGCAAGGTTGAAGTTGGCAGTGGCAATGGAAACCGACGAGATACTGGTCTTCTGCGACTCCCAGCTTATCGTTAACCAGGCAACGGGCGAATTTGCTGCCTGAGATGAAAGGATGATGGCATATGCAAAAGAGGTAGGCAAACTGATAGCCTTATTCCAAAATTGTCGACTACAGCAGGTAAGCCGAGATGACAACAGCCATGCTGACGCCTTGGCCAACCTAGCCAGTGCAATAAAACTAGGAGAGGCAAGGACAATAATGGTTGACTATCTGTCAGGACCAAGTGTGGAGCCATTGAACACAGAAGGTGAGGTAATATGTGTGGAGATGGGACCAAGTTGGATGGATGCAATAACAACATTCCTTAAAGATGGGAAACTGCCAGATGATCGCAAAGAAGCACACAAGATCAAACTGAAGTCGACAAGATTCAGTCTGACAGCAGAAGGACATCTCTATAGAAGATCTTTTACATGACCCCTTTTGAGGTGTGTGCATTCTGCACAAGTGGAAGACTTCCTGTACGAAATACACGAAGAGGCATGTGGAAGCCATGCTAGGGGCAGGTCACTTGCCCATAGGACCATCACTCAGGGGTACTGGTGGCCCTACATGCAGAAAGACGCTAAAGCCTATGTCAGAAAGTACGAGAAGTGTCAGAGGTTTGCATCTTTGATTCATCAACCCGCAACAGATTTAAACCCAGTGTTCAGCCCTTGGCCATTTGCCCAGTGGGACATGGATCTAGTTGGACAACTACCTCAAGCGACTGAACAAAGGTAGTTCCTGCTAGTAGCAATAGATTACTTCACCAAGTGGGTAGAAGCAGAACCCCTAGCAAAGATTCGAGATGTGGATGTAAAGAACTTTATCTGGAAGAACATCATTACCAAGTTTGGGATCCTAAAGGCAATAATAGCAGACAATGGCACACAGTTTGACAACAAGCTAAGCAAAAGCTTCTGTGCAAAATACCAGATCAAGAATTACTACTCCACTCCAATCTTCTCTCAAAGAAATAGACAAGCAGAAGCATCCAACAAAACCATCTTGGATGGGATCAAGAAAAGGCTGGAAGCAGCAAAGGGAAAATGGGTAGAAGAGTTGCCCAATGTGCTTTGGGCATATCAGACGACGCCGAGAAGATCAACTGGGGAATCCCCATTTGCCATGGCTTATGGCACAGAGGTAGTGATCCCATTAGAAGTCGGCATCCCATGGATCAGAACCTAAGGGGTAGAGAATGGGACAAATAAAGCATTTCTGGCTTGAAATCTGGACCTGTTGGAAGAAAGCAGAGAAAGAGCAGCAATTCGGCTGGGGGTATACCAGCAGTAACTTGCTGAGGCTTACAACAAGAAGGTTAACCCAAGAGAGTTCCAAGTTGGGGACCTCGTCCTGAGAAAGGTCGTCGGCAACAAGAAGGATCCTAGAGAGGATAAGATTGGCCCAAATTGGGAGGGACCTTACAGAATCATTTCGGTCGCCAGCAATGAGGCACATCGGCTTGAAGATAATGACGGCAAAGAGTTGCCAAGACCTTAGAACACTTGCAATTTGAAATTTTTCTATCATTAGATTTGTTGTTTATGTTTTATTTACCAGAGATATCAATAAAGTTCAAATTTGGGAAAATTGCAAATTATGTGAACAGTTCTATTACGATTTTTTTGATTGAAACATGGCGAATAACTTAGATTTATTATATGGCAGAGTAGAACCTTACTTGCATATAATAGAGTTGAACTAAGTTTGCGATGTTTCTGATTGAAACATGACGAATAACTTAGACTTATTGTATGGCAGAGTAGAACCTTACTTGCATATAATAAAGTTGAACTAAGTTTGCGATGTTTCTGATTGAAAGATGGCGAATAACTGAGACTCATTATATGGCAGAGTTGAATTACACTTGCATATAATAGAGTTGAACTAAGTTTACGATGTTTCTGATTGAAACATGATGAATAACTTAGACTTATTGTATAGCAGAGTAAAACCTTACTTGCATATAATAGAGTTGAACTAAGTTTGCGATGTTTCTGATTGAAACATGACGAATAACTCAGACTTATTATATGGCAGAGTAGAACCTTACTTGCATATAATAGAGTTGAACTAAGTTTGCGATGTTTCTGATTGAAACATGACAAACAACTTAGACTTATTATATGGCAGAGTAGAACCTTACTTGCATATAATAGCGTTGAACTAAGTTTGCGATGTTTCTGATTGAAAGATGGTGAATAACTTAGACTCATTATATGGCAGAGTTGAATTACACTTGCATATAATGGAGTTGAACTAAGTTGGATTAACCTAGAGTTGCCATGACGACAGAATCAAACTCAGACTAGAACTAAGTACATTTCACTAAAGTGAATAGAAACACCAAGGTCGAAGACCTCAGCTAATACTTTCCAAACTTCGGCAACAAGATCATATGTACATGCTTAATGTGAACATAAGTAAAACTTAAGCCCACATTAGGGGGCAGAGAGCTGGAGAATAATACGTGAGAATTGGAATTTGAAGATTGGTTTAAACACTTGTTGAAATTTTGAGAAAATTTACAAGTTGAAGTTAAGCCGAGGCCATATTGAGAGCAGATGGGTTTAACACTTGTTGAAATTCTGAGAGAATTTACAAGTTGAAGTTAAACCGAGGTCATGTTGAGAGAAGATTGGTTTAACACTTGTTGAAATTTTTAAGAAAATTTACAAGTTAAAGTTAAGCCAAGGCCGAGATGAAAAATATTGAAAGTTATGTCCGATGTATTTTACCCCGAAGAGATTGCACAGTTGAGGTGTACCTTGAAGGCATTCAAATTGTTCTAAGTATAGAATCATACAAACCAGTAAAGGAAAGACAAACACTTAGTCAAAAGAAAAAAAGCTATACTTGCATTAAAAGGAGAAAAAGGACACTTCGGCCTGACAAAAAGATTACTTGTTTGGTTTACAAAGGTGGAACGTCGGCCAAATTAAAGCTTACATCGTTTCAAAAGTAAGAAAAAGTACAAGGTACAAAGAAAAACATCAAAAATAGACTACTCGACGTCAACGACTGACTGTGTCTTGGCCCTAGAAGACAGTTGGGAAGACTTCTCGGCAGCCTTCTCAGCCTCGAGCTCAACATCGATCTCCTGAAGAGTTTGATCGAGGATCTTCTCGGTGATTGGCACCTCGGAGTTTGTCTTCTGGGAGGAGGCATCCTTTGAGACCTCATCCTCCTCATCTTGAGTCAAGTCCAAGACTTGCTCATTCAGAGTTGGGGACTTGGTAACAGTTGCCTCTTCATTCTTATCGGCCTCTGCTGGCTCCTCGGACTCAACTTCGTCCTCGGATTGGCTTGGAGTAGGGAGGAGTGGTAGGACGAGGTTGTGGGCGTTCTTGAGGGGAGAATCCTCAAGGACTACCAACTCTTTTAAAGAAGCCATCCAACCAAGGGTGAAACCCTTGTTGCATGCCTGCTTCACTTGCTTCTTGTACTCCTCTTTGACATCAACTACCCCCTCATTGTACGCTCTCTCATCCGTCGCTTTGATCTCGACGTTCTTTGTGGCTAGGGCAGCAATGAGTTCGACCTGGGCGTCGGCGATCTTTGCCTCGACCTCTTTCTTTTCGGCTTCGAGGACTTTGGTAATGGCCTCAGCGGCCTCAGCCCTCTCCTTGGCCTCATCCTTAGCTTTTTTGGCTTCCTCGGCCTGGTTTATTAGAGTTTTCATCTTGGCCTCAGCCTTGTTAATGGTCTTTTGCAAGCCAGCAGCCTCCTTGGTCTTGTTGGCCAACTCCTTCTTAATGTTGAAAGCTTGCATTGCGAAGGAGTGGCCATGCTGGATCGCCTAGAAGAAATGGAACAAAAACAAAAAGTTAGCAAAATTCTCTAAAGTATGGAAAAACAGACAATGAAAAGAAACCAGTTGTTAGGGTCTTACTTGAATGGAGTGCTGCAGTATTAGAGCGAAGTTTTCAAACTCACTCATCTCGACGTTGAGATTGAGATCTTTAGGGAGGAGCAAGGTGGTTGATAGGGCAATGTCGACTTCAATATTATCGGCGCTATCGCTAGCTCTGACCGACTTATCCTCAAGTGTGATTGGGGGAGCCCAGGGGGCATCAGACTTCAGAGAGCCCGAGGTTGTTATCAACTCAAACCTCGGTCTCTTTGACCTGGTTGACTCGGAGGGTGCAGCCTCGGCGGGCCTTTTTTCAGCTACGGAGGCACTTTTTTCTGCCTCGGCAATTTTGGAGATCGGCAAGGTGTCCTCAGAGTCGATCTGAGTCACCGTTGTTATCACGACCCCAAACCGCCCCTAGTAGTTTGGTGTCGTGATGGCCAGTAATCCGAGATTACCGAAGGCCAACTTTCAAAATTCACACACATCAGAGTATAATATATGGGGCTCACAAGTGCGGAAGCAATAATTTAAAATACAAGTGGTCCATAAGAGCAGTGCATAAGTCAAATGGAATGGCAAACATCTTTACATAGCTTAAAATCTTGAATACAAATAAATTGAAGTACAAAAATACATATTATATTTAGACAAAAGGCTTCTCGAGCCGACGTGTTCAAAATACATAAGCATCAAGATTGCCAACATCCTTACTGCCGACATAACATACATGCAAAACACACATCTCGGCGAAGCCGACTCCTTGCTTGCTACCTACATATATACATAGGGAGGGTGAGCTTGGATACTCAGTGAATGGTATAAGTAATAAAGTGGTTAAATGAATGATACCCGAGATCCTTTCAAAACAATACATAGTATATCATCATCAAAACCATACATAACGTAGCTTAGCTTGACTTGTAACAAAACATCAATCAAATCTTAGTCTTTCAAAACTTGCTTGGAATACTTAACATACATCGACTTAAAACATGGGGTGATGACATTCCAGGCAAAACAAAAGCATAACCTCGGCATCGAGCACACCCGTTCATAGTCCGTCGGTGGCCGATATCTTAACAAGGGTGCTACTTAGGCTTAACGTCCCCTAGCACGAAAGGACGGTGCTACCTAGGCTTAAAGTCCCCTAGCACGGAAGGGCTTGTGGCACAAATACTTAAAGTCCCCTGGCACGTACGGACTATGTTACCTAGGCTTAACGTCCCCTAACACGAAAGGACGGTGTTACTTAGGCTTAACGTCCCCTAACACGAAAGGACGGTTCCAAGAATGTCACCCAAAACAAAGCTTATACTTGATACATAAAATAGGGATATCATTCATGCTTAACAAAATACTTTTATCAAAACAAGGCAAAGCTTTATTAAAACTTGATAACATAACTTTATCAGAAATACCACTCACATAGTTCTTGGGACGTCGGGATCAAGGCAAAGGTCCAAGTCCTACAAACACATGGCAAGGTCTAATGAACATACTCCCCAAAACAAGTCTTACATGCATGCAAATGATCTCGGGAAAACATGCTGGAAGTCAAAACACTGTTTTACATGTCAAGAAGACATGCTGGGTACCAACTAGGCCTTTGCCGAGGTCCCACACCTCCTGGTCGAGGTGTGACTACCTAGGCTTCGGCATGCGGCTGCATGCCGAGGTGCGCACAAGACAGACTAAATGTGTAAGTGATCATGCAAGGTAGGCCAAGGTGAGATACGATGCTTGGCCTAATTGTGAGGTCTAGGTAAGAGTGATCTCGACGACTACACTTAAGGAAGTGAGGTCTGGAGATCTGGGTTTCCACCCGTGAAGAACATGAACATGAAGATCACGAAGAACATGAATGCTAAAATCATAACTTCTTTATTACAAAATCTAGGTTTTCATGCTATGAGTTCGAAAACATGGACCTGGGTACCCACACTTGAAAATCATATGGAAACAAATACAAAAACATGGATCTAGGCATGAGCTTTCGGATCAAAACATGACTTTTCTTGAAGAACACATGAATACTATTTTCTCTTTCTAAAACCGAACTTCAAAGCCATGCATGGCTTACAAATCTTATTTAATCATGCAATGCAATAACATAAACATAAAGAACAGCAAGAGCGGATCAAGAATCTAACCTTAGAACACGGATCTAACGGTTCGATCTCTAGGAATCAAGCTTAGAAATCCACACTCTCTCAAGAACTCTTCTTCCTCTCCTAGAGCTTCTCTCTCCTCTTCGAAACAAGTATACAACAAAATGATGGGTTCTCTCTCTCTATTGGCTGACTTAACTCTCAGCTCGGACACGTGGCAACGGCTGGTTGGTTCTCCTCAAAAAGGTGATAGATTGACAAGACAAGACTATGACAAAGCGTATCTAACAAGCTACTCGGAATGGCACTCCGGCAAGTGGTGACATGGGCTAAGGACAAGGCTTCGGCAACTAAGGTTCCAATGACCTCGGCTAGGAAGGACAACACTTGACTAAGCTGTGCCACACCTTGGCCTAGATGTGCCACACCTCGGTCTAGGTCATACCACTCCAGGACAAGATCACTTAGGTGCAAAGGTAACATCTCGGCCTAGATGGTACACATCTCGGCCTTGGTGATGAACACCTCGGCCCAGATAATGACATCTCGGCTAATATGTCAGGGCGAGGGTGGAGGTCGAACAAAGGGGTTCCAAGATGATTCTAGACTGAAGATGACCTCGGCTTGGAACGACCTAGGCGTAACATGACCTTGGCTAGACATAACCTAGGCTTGGCATGACTTAGGCTTCAGGCAGCAAGAAAGGAAACAAACATGCAACACACTTACGCAAAACAAGGCAAGATTCATGAATTCAAACTTAGCAAGACAGGATTATATAAATGTATGCAAGCATGGCTAAGATATGAATGTGGGTCCTTACATCCTTCCCCTCTTAAGGAAGTTTGGTCCTCCAAACTTAACTTACCATGTTTCCCCAAAACAACTCCGCACGTCGGATTCTCATTTCTTCTTGTCACCTCTAGCTTTTATCTTGGGACAATCCTTAATGCGATGACTCATCTCACCGCATCCGAAACATGCTCCAGTTGTCCGAAGAGAAACCCCAAAATGTAGCTTCCCGCAACTCGCACACGTCGGCCTGGTGCTACCTTCCAGATTCGCGTTGTTGGGACTGTCCACCTCTGTCTTCTCCTCGGCATCATTCGGGTCTGCCTCTTCGCCGCGATTGTCATAGGTCTGTCTCTTCTTCTGATTCTTCCCCGAACTTTGACTTCTATTCAGGTTGGCTTCTGCAAGGATGGCTTTATCTAACACCCCAGAATACGTCGGCATGTTGAGCAAATTAACCTGATCTTGTATTGGCCCTCGTAGCCCACTCTCAAACTTCCTAGCTTTTCTGTATTCATTGTCGACCATGTGTGGTGCATACCTTGCCAACTCGGTGAAGGCACGATCATACTCTGCCACTGTTTTGCTACCCTATGTTAACATCTGGAATTCTGTGGTCTTGCGATCTCGGACATTGAGTGGGAAATGCTTGTCATAGAACAGCTCCAAAAATCTGACCCAAGTCAAGTTTGGATTGCTTTCTCGAATCATCATCCACCATCTACGAGCGTCGTCTTCTAGTGTAAATGCTGCCAGTGACACCTTCTGAGCGTCGGTGCTACGGAAAACCTCGAACAACTTCTCCATCTCAAGAACCCATGCTTCTACTTTCATCGGCTCTATACCTCCATGGAACTTCGGCGGTTTCATCTTCTTGAATTCTTTGATCAATGTCAAAGTGTCGTCTCCATACAAAGCTGGTGGCGGCTGCACTTGTGGTACTGGAAGAGGTGGAGGTGGAACTGCATGTCGGCCATTTGTCTGCTCGGCCTGAGTGGAGGTGGTACCAGTGTTCTGCTGCCTTGCTTGTCTTAACTCATCGGCCAAACTTTCAACCAATCTTTCTAATCTGTCTATTCTGTCCTCGGATTGATCTCAGCCAACTGGGGGTCTACCTCTTCTCATGATATTGGGGGTATGCAGGATGTGACACTTAGAACAAAATGAACATGTATGCAAATGAACATGATCATACCGATGTAACAAAATGTTCATGCCGAGATGATGCACACCTTGTCAAGTAGCAAGCAATATGATGCAAATCCTAAAATCATTCTAAGGGACATCTTATGCTCTTTAGGACTCAAAGTGTGTGAATAACGTACTATAAGGAACGAGGGCTCTGATACCATTCTGTCACGACCCCAAACCGCCCCTAGTAGTTTGGTGCCGTGATGGCCAGTAATCCGAGATTACCGAAGGCCAACTTTCAAAATTCACACACATCAGAGTATAATATATGGGGCTCACAAGTGCGTAAGCAATAATTTCAAATGCAAGTGGTCCATAAGAGCAGTACATAAGTCAAATGGAATGGCAAACATCTTTACATAGCTTAAAATCTTGAATACAAATAAATTGAAGTACAAAAATACATATTATATTTAGACAAAAGGCTTCTCGAGTCGACGTGTTCAAAACACATAAGCTTCAAGATTGCCAACATCCTTACTGCCGACATAACATACATGCAAAACACACATCTCGGCGAAGCCGACTCCTTGCTTGCTACCTACATATATACATAGGGAGGGTGAGCTTGGATACTCAGTGAATGGTATAAGTAATAAAGTGGTTAAATGAATGATACCCGAGATCCTTTCAAAACAATACATAGTATATCATCATCAAAACCATACATAACGTAGCTTAGCTTGACTTGTAACAAAACATCAATCAAATCTTAGTCTTTCAAAACTTGCTTGGAATACTTAACATACATCGACTTAAAACATGGGGTGATGACATTCCAGGCAAAACAAAAGCATAACCTCGGCATCGAGCACACCCGTTCATAGTCCGTCGTGGCCGATATCTTAACAAGGGTGCTACTTAGGCTTAACGTCCCCTAGCACGAAAGGACAAGTGCTACCTAGGCTTAAAGTCCCCTACACGGAAGGCTGTGCCACAAATACTTAAAGTCCCCTGGCACGTACGGACTATGTTACCTAGGCTTAAACGTCC